AGAGAAAAATACAGTTACTCATTTGGAAGTGATGTAATTTTTCCATATATCCAAGTAGATATTAACTCAAGACAATCTTCTTCTAAAATCAGCAGATGTAAATAACTCATTAGTGTCATTAGATATCAGTGTTTTAAAAGACTGTATGCCAAATCAGGCCCATGTTAATTGAATTCAACTTTATATTCCTTCAGTATCCAACCAGATGTTTCTGGAGAATCTATAACTAGCCTAGGATCACAATATCACACTCTCATATCATTCATATTACTCAGTAACTAACATTCACAGTCAAGCTATCTTTGATACTAATATAATTATATAACTATCATAACATGATATTCTTTGATAGCTTTATCCTTTGTGAATTTTTCCAGTTGTCTCTTATAGCTATATAGCTTTGTGCCCATTAGACATTTTTTATAAAGTATGTATTGTGTGGCAAGGCAAATATCATGAGTCTGATTATGTATGTATGTATGTATGTATGTATGTATGTATATGTGTGTGTGTGTGTGTTTTCTCAAGTTTATATATATATATATAAATACATATAATATATAAATCTATATATAAATACATATATATGTGTGTGTGTCTGTCTCTGTCTCTCTCTCTCTCTCTGTATAAGGTTTCATGAGCTGCTGATCATTTCATCAGATGCATGAAGTGGTTTAACTAATGTGGTATCATTATTTCTTCTATACTTGGAGTTGTAAAGCCTATGAATTTAATTTGAGTTAGGACTCAGCAAGGAATATATATGCTGCTTCTTTTTATAACTAAAATTTATTCTGCATGTTAAATGAAACAATGGTATGATGTTACAATTTTATCAAAATTGTTTCATTAGAAATAGCTTCCCTAGTTTTGCATAATTCCTGAAATTCCTTAATTTTTCTCTCCACTATTCATCCTTACTCTATATAACAGTAACTATAGAAAAAACATAACTTGTATGAGCAAGAAATTGCAAATGGATTCAGCATGCTCATAACCAATCAATTTATAAGGTTTTGTTTTGGTGAAAAATCGGAGGAAAAAGTACTTTATACATTGGAATATAAATCTAACAACCAAACCATCTGAACATCCTACTGAAGAGTCCACTAGGTCTAAACAAATATTTTTGTTGGATTAACTAGCTTTATATCATCAGAACCATACACATTTTAAATTCTAAGCCCCTTGATTTTTCAATATTGGATACTCCAATTAAAAGCAAAGTAGAAGATTTTGGCTTAGGACAACTAAGCCAAGAATTTGACATAGTTTTAGATTAGAATATAGTATAATCAAGATATATGAAATGCCACAGCAGGTGGCAGCACTAGCTGACCCTGTTATAACACTGTGGATCCTAATGGGCCAGGTTGTTTTTTTAAAGGGAGCCTTTGTACACAGGACATTAATATACAAGCAAAGTGATGTAATTGGATACAATTGTACATTTTAATGGTAGTAATCTTATTCATAATACAGTCATAAGTGCAGTAAAGGCATTGAATAAATCACAATTTATACATTAATTACTGGTAGATACACAAGAAAACTAATTTCAAAAAAAAGATCTGGTGACCCACTAAATCTGTCCTTGGAATTTTGTTTTTTGTTTTGTTTTATTTATTTTTCTTGGATGATGAACAAGTTTACCCCAAACATGTTTAAACTCAGTTACTGATGATTGATCCACAATCTCCAGAGGAAGCTGATTCCAAGTTTCCACTATTCTTTCTGTGAAGTAATACTTTCTAACATTACTTTTGAACTTTCCTCCTGTCAGTTTGAGGTTATGCCCTGTCTTCTGGATTAATTACTTATTTATACCATACATAAAATAAGGAACCTCTAAATTGAATGTTCATGACATATTATTAACCGCTATACATTCAAAGTGAAAAATAAGCATTTGTTTATTTTACAGCAACTTCACAGGGACCAATGTAAAAGAAGCAATGTAAGACTTAAAAAAGAACTTTAAGCACTGTATTCAAATTTTAAATGTAATCCTGGCAGGAATCTATTGCAGTGAAATGGAGCTTCTAAGTGTAAAAGTATGTAATAGATTCAAGTATGTAATATATTCAAATGACCCTTGCAAGATCCCGGGATAAATGCACAAGCACAAGATCAACCAGCAGGGCTTTCAAATAACCAGTGTGCATATATGCAGTGCACACTCAGTCAACACCATCAATTTGTAGTGGTATGTTTCTTAAAATCCCAGTTTAACAAATGCAATTTTAAAAAGTAGGGGCATAGTAAGAAAGATACAGAATAGAAGTATTCTGGACATGAAGCAAATGATGGAACAAAGTCTTTGAACCCAGCCAATAGGCTGCTATAATAATTCAAGTGTGACACAAACAGGGTACAAACCAAGAGCTTGGCTCTCTTAAGTAGTGAAAAACCACTGGATTCTGCAAACCTTCATTCTGTAAAAATAACAGAATCTTGTAATTTTCCCCATTTTTCCCAATCCACATGGAAAAGTATAGACAATGTTATTTTTCTGGGTAGCTTTGGAGAATAGAAGTAAAAAATGGCACCGTATCATGGTGATTCTCTTCCTCTCTCCATGGTCAATACCAATTCATGTTGGGTTGGGGCAAAATCAAGCACAAGCCCGTTTTGAATGGGCTTTCAGCACTACGGACTCTCCTGGCTCCTGTTTAATATCTACATGAAGCCACTGAGTGAAGTTATTAAAGAGCATAAGGTGCACTATCATCACTGTGCTCCTAGTATCCAATTGTATTTATCCACCTTAAGGCTGACCAAGCAATGGCTGAGAATCTGGAATGGGGACAACAGGCTTCGACTCAAACACAGGAAGATGAGTCACTATGGTTTTTAAGCCCCCTTGTTCTGGACATTTTTCATCTTTGGTTCTGACCGTGGGTGTATTTCCCAGTCAGAACTGGTGTGCAATTTTGAAGTTCACCTGGATTCACTGCTCCAGCTCAAAGAGTAGGTGGTAGCTATGGCTAGGAAGCTCATCTGGGGCACCGACCAGGGTGGATTTGATTTAAATCAAGTCGATTTAAATCATCATTTAAATCACTAGTAAAAAGGCTTGATTTAAGTCAACTTGATTTAAATCATATTTTTTAATGAGCAACTGCCATCTCTGTCCTGCAGCAGCTCTTCCTCTGACCCGCTGTTGATTCACCGACAGTCCCATTCACTTTAATGGGATGGCTGGAGATACGTCAGTGACACAACAAGGTGCGGGAGGTGGCAGGCAGCAAGTGAACGGATGCCTGCTAACAGGCGCTGCCATGATGGATCTGAAATGACAGGTGCTCTTTAAATGTAAGGACTCATTCTTGCTGGTAGTTAAAATCTTTAATATTATTATTTGCAAACAAAATGAAGGCTTCCTATTTAGCTTGCAGAGCTTGGATTAATTGAATGAGTTTACAAAAAATGTAAATATTGCAAAATATACAGCCTCATGCTACATAACTAAGCTCCATTTCATGCTGAATAAATACATTATTAATGTATCTTAAATAGAAAACTGTCTTTAGATAGATTTTTAGTCCAAAAGCATTTTATTAAAATAAATTTGATAAAAATAAAAAAAAATGATTTAAATTTAAAAATCTGATTTGATTTTTTAAAAAAATCATTTTTATCCACCCTGGCACCAACTATACCCATTCTTGGACTGGGAGGCCTTGCTAATGGATAATCATATCTTAGTCATCTTTCATTTGGATTAATGTGATGTGCTGTACTGCATGTGGGGCTATCCATGAAGAGCATTTAGATGGAGCAGCACAGCAATTTTTGCCATTTCTTCTAATGTTCATATAACACCACTGCTCTTCATGCTGCACACAAGTTGCTGATTATCGTCTCTAAAGCCTCAAATAGCTTAGGGCAGAGTATTTGGGAGACTGCTTTTCTGTGATTATTTCCCTTCACTCCACGAGATGTAATAGAGAGGATGTTCCATGCCCTTTTCTTCGAACAGTGTCCTTTTGTTGGATACCACAGCTGTTCCTTCTTGGTGGCAGCAACACAGCCTTATGGAGTACCTGTTTTTCCAGGCCTTTGGGTCACAAGGTTAGGTGAACTCCACTGTTGCTGTTTTCTTTTTGTGATTTTTCTCTTTTGTGAGTTTTATGATTTTAACTTGGGCATCAGGGGTTTCAACTGTGATTTTTAATTTCCATATGCCATCCAGAAAACTATGTAAAAATGACATGAGGCAAATTCTGCCCTTATATTTTTGAGTATCAATGTCTGATCATAGATTTTTCTATCATTATATAACTTGTCTCTCCACCCCAAAGCTAACTGTGAACAAGTCTGAACCAGTCAGCTTATAAAAGATGTTGCAAACCAGCATGTATTATAAGGAGATCAAAGGAAAAGTGAAGAAAAGCGAACAAGCACATTTTGATGTCTGGCTTCAGTCTATTCTAGTTGGTCCAAGATACAAGCACAAACTACTTGGAATGTACATATTGAGGGAGGGAAAGCAATCAAGGAACACATTTTCTCTGGTGAGGATGGCACTCTGCCCTAGCACCATGTGATTGGCATTAGACATTCCTTTCAAATGAGCATATCTCTCATGCAGCAGTTACAGTTCAGTAAGCTGTCTCCTTCTTTAAAAAATAAAGCTTTTATCTTTACAGGCAGCAGAGCAGCTGCCAAAGAAAGGTGATGCACTGGGATACAGAGGCTCTTTCAGGCCTTTCATTTATGGGCAATCTCAATCTTTATTTGGCCTGCTGTCTTTCTGCCAATAATTATCAATGGCTGTGCCCCAGAGATTAGGCCTGCAGGGCACAAAAATATCAAAGTTGAAATGAAAATTCTAAAGATTGTTAAAAGAAAATGTTCATTAAAATTCTGGGGTGAAAATATGAGTGAATTATCAAAAGGTATCTCTGAAGTTACATGAACTGCTTGATTGCTTGTTTGCAACATTTCTTTTGTATCTTAATTTTGTCCCTTTAACTTCTGTTGTTATTTTTCCTTAGATTGTAAGTTCATCTGTCACTACCGATGCCGTGCTCTGATTCGACTTGATTGCAGGGGTCCCAGATATAAAAACGAGCAGGATGAAGGCAATGAGCAGACAATAGAAAAAGACACTAATGTGGTAAGAAACAGTTTTAAATAATAACGCAATGGTGGGAGGAGGTTGCATGGTTATACTGGAATGGCAAAGAACATTCCAAAATGAGGCAAAAGATCCAAGAATCCATCCTTAACATTTTCTACATAAAGGATTTCACATGGCAAGTGAATTTCTTCTAAATTCACTAAGAGCCAGCACTACAAGGAATGGGTCAGTAGTCAACATAAAGTGACTATATTGCATATACTGCACTAGCTGGTCTCTAGTACTGTTAGTCATGGTGCCTGGGGCTGCTGGGATCACTAGTTTTACAACATCACAAATAACACCTGATTTATAAGCATTTATGAACATTCCCAGTAATAAGCTTAATGTCATACCAGAAAAGAGGGAGGGGGAGGAACTATTATTTAGATGACTGTCAATAATCCATCGTTCCTCTGTCTGATTGAGAGAATTTTCGTAAAACAGAGTGGAAAGCTTTATTGCGCCCAAATGTAATAATATTCTATTTTCAATAGAATCTGAGACTTGTGCCAGAAGGCAAACAAGATCATGAATGTTTCAGTGTGATTTTGAAGATTGAATTTCATCTTCTAATGGTGCTTCTGCTCTCTGGAGCTGGAGCTTGGTGCTGCCAAAATGACCCCGGGGTCAAGAGTTGCTAGAAACAAGCACCTAGCTAGGCAAGACTCCCCCACCCCCATCAAACCAGCTGGAAAGGTTCACTGCAATTAATACTTTGTCATCTAATAGAGCTGTATACCACTTAGCAACATTACTCATACATTGTTGCCAGAGAACAGATTTCTAGCATCCCTTATAGAAATATATATCTAATGCTCTTCTATTTCTGTCTGTTACGCATTGCTGTATAATTTAAGCTACTGTACTATCTTAAAAACCCATCTGGCTTGGTCTTTTTCCCTTTCAGCACTGCTTTACTCAGATGTAATTGCTTGGGGAACGCTGCCTTTTCAGCATGCAGATTTGGAATTTGCTTTTTAAAATTATTTTAAAGAACACAGTCATAGCAGACAAGAGGTTGTTAGATTTTTTTTGCCCTTGCATTACTACTTTGCTCCTACTATACAGTTATAAGTATTTGTACATGTTGTCAATGCCTGAAATCTGAAATAATGATCCCTCTTCTCTTTTGCTTTAAAATGGAAACTACAGGTAGTCCTTGACTTATGACCAATTTCTTAGTGACCATTCAAAGTTACAATGGACTTTCCCAAAGCTACTAACAATCAGGATTGCAGTTGGGGCAGTTGGCAACCAGCCTGCATTGACAGCCATTTGCAGTGTCCCATGGTCATATGACTGCAATTTACAGCATTTATTGCTGGAAACTAGCATTTACTTAGTTTGATTTTAGAAATGCCCATTGTGGTAATGGATTTGCTTAATTACATTTGTTTAACAACTGCCACAAAAAGAAGTTTAAAAACCAGGTGTGGTATCCACCTAAAAACTGGCACAACTTATAACCTTAATTTTGGTGTCAATTAGTCTTACACTGAAGACTACCTGCATTCAGTTTTGTGGTTTGTTAGTTGTAATCCAACCAACTCTTCCTGTTTTGGCTCTTATTATCAGTGGTTGAGATGCTGGCTTAGAAACCCAAAGATTATGAGTTCCAGGTTTCTCTTAGGAGCAAAAGCCAGCAGGGTAACTCTAGACCAGTCACACTTGGACCAACCTACCTCACAGGATTCTTGTGGGGAAAATAGGAGACAGGAATATTAGGAATATTGTTTGCCACCTTGAGTTATATATAAAGAGTGGGATAAAAATCTAGTAATGAAATAGCAAGTTTTCACTATGCAGTGGAAAAAAATGAAACAGATGTAGGATTACAATACCATCCATCCATTTATATGCTATTAAAACTCTTGTTTCTGTAAGTTTTTAACTGGGCAAAATAGTACATGATAGAACAATAATTTTTCAACCAATGTACCTCCAGTGGCTTAACTTATAGAATGAGTCCAAAATCCGGGACCCATGACTCCTGTGGAATTGAAATTTGGTAACTTGTATGAAACATTTTATGACATAAAATTATGACATAGTACAATATATCCTAAAATGTTTCTTATGCCAATGTTTGACTGCTATTCCAGTTGAGCATGGGCTAGTTTCAAGGGAAGACACAGCTCTGAAGGCATTGAGGAATCTGGTAAGGAAAAATCTCTTGAAAGGATAACCCAAGAGGTCATGGGATAGTCTAATAAGTATTAAATATGCATATATTGCAGCAACAGTGCTAGCTCATCTGCCTCTTATTACAGTAAATCAGACAAAGATTGTGTATTATAGCACTCTCGGTACTGCAAAAATTTCTACTTTTCCTTTCTACTTTCCCTCTGAATTCTAGTTTTCCGTTCTGGTTTCCTTCTGAATCCTGCAGTTGATAGACCAAAAACAAAAAGTTGCCCTACGGGTCTGATTCTTGTTCCTAGCGAGCAGAAAGGAAAATCAATTCGGCTAAAGAAGCAAGTTTAACGTTGTATTTCTTCAAGCGTGCCGCCGCCGCCCATCGAAAAGGGAAGGCGGGGGAAAATGACTCCTTATTCCGGGAGGGTTGGAAAGAAAAAAGGAAAAAAGAAAAAAAAAACCGCTGAAGACAAAAGCCAGCAAAGGCCGTGACGCCAACTCGCGCGCTGGCTACTTGGACGATGAAATCACCCCCAGCCGCCCTCACAAGCAGGAAACGGGCGGGGCTCCCGGCTTAAGAAGCAGCAGCAGCAACAGCCGGGCTCTTATTCGCCCAATCAGCAGGCGGGCGCGGCCTCGCTCTACTTTTCAATCCCAACGGCTGCAAGGCGGGCGTGCAAAAAAAAGAAGGGGCGGGGGCGGCGCTTCCTTCGCCACCGGCTCCAGGCTCCTCCTCCTCCTCCACCTCTACCTTCAAAGCTGGGGTTTGTAGCGCCTGTGGCGGAGGGCGAGCGTTCGGACTAGCCGGGGTCGAAGAGGGAAGCTGCAGGGTCAAGCTCAAGCCTCCTTAGCGGTGTGGATTCGAAGGGAGTCTCCCAGTGCCGAGAGCAGCAGCAGGAGGAGGAGGAGGTGGCGGCGGTGCGAGAAGAATTAATTTTCCCCGTGGCTCGAGTTCCCGGGAGTTATTTGTTCGTGGCTTGGCGGAATTCTGTGATGTGGTCGTAGCTCCGGCAGGGGACAAAGGGAGGCGGCGAGTGGGGTCGAAGAGGAGCCTCTGAGGAGCAGCGGCGGTGCGAGAAGAAACACCCTGTCCGGCCGCTTTTCCTCCTCCTCCGAGAAGTATATTATAGGGCATGAGGGAAAGTGACGCGGCGGCCACTCTGTCCTTCGAGATGACTTGGAGCAGCACGACGAGCAGCGGCTACTGCAGCCAGGAAGACTCGGACTCCGAGCTGGAGCAGTACTTCACGGCCCGCACCTCGTTTATCCGCAAACCCCACAAGGAAAAGGTGAAAGGCTCACACGGCCCCCCCCTTCTCTCTTGATTCCCAAACGCCGCTTTCCTCCCATCCGGGACAGCTGGTGGTTTACAGGGTTTGTTGCGCTAGCTACCCGTTGCAGTCTGTAGTTTGCCTTGAAAGAGAATCGAGCAACACCTGGATCTTGTTTTAGCTTGTAAGGTGGATAATTCCTAGAGCATTACATTTCTTACTGGCTTGTTTATATTCTTTGCCGGTAATATGGCATATTCAGTTGAAAGGACTTTGCTGACCCTGATCCCCACCCCTCCAAATGCCCCCATTCATCTAATCCACTTAACCCACAAAACGATTTTTGTGCTGTACAGCATATCAGACAACAGTTGCTCTCTAAAACCAGTAGCTGAATCCAACCATGGTTCTTTAAGGATGTTTTATTCTATGGCTTAAAACGATCAGTTGCTTGTTTAACCATAATATAATATGCATGTGTAACAGCCATGGAATGCCTGTTTGTGTTTATTTGCGGCTGCGTAGTATGTGTTAGTTGGATTAAGGTATCCTTTTCTATTCTTTGAATGGAAAGATATTTGTTTTCTATCCTGTAAGTTACATGCCCAGCAGTAAACTTAGGAAATCTTATTTTGTATCTTAATTTGGTCTACATGTTTGTTTGTTGCCACCAAATGAAAATTCAAAAAAGTATTCCTTTAGAAGCAGGGGTGTCAAACTCAAGGACGAGGGGCCAGATCTGGCCTGTGGGGTGCTTAGATCTGGCCTGCCGGGCCTCTGCCAGCAAAAATGGAGCTCAGGAGGGTGACGTGTGGCCCTCCTGAGCTCCATTTTCACTGGCAGAGGGTTGCAAGAAGCAGTCGCAGCCAAAAACTGAGCTCAGGAGCCCATTTTCACAGGCAGAGAGCCTAAGCCACCACATGTGCCCCTGACACAAGTGATGTTGAGCTCCCCCCCCCCCCCAGGTCAAACGCAACCCTGATACGCAGCCCTCAATGAAATCGAGTTTGACACCCCTGCTTTAGAGTATTTCTAACTTAGTGGAAAGCAGTTCACAGGGTCTGTAGGCTTTCAGAGATTGATCTCTGTATTCAGATATTAAAATGGTATGAAGCTATTGACACTGCCGTTTGTAGTCTATAGTTGCTGTTTGCATGGTTCTGTGTTCTTCTTAAGCTTGTAGGAAATACTTTGAGAATATAATGTGGTTTATTGAATTTAGAAGTTTTAGGGAATGTCTTTATAGGATACCGTATGTTCATATAATATAAAGCAATACATATTCTTCCTGCACTTTCTTTAGGAACATTAACTGAGACTAAGGGAAACAACACAATATAGAGAATGGTTCTTTTGGACTTGGATAGGAAAATATTGTAGAATAATAGCTTTCAAATAATTTTCATTTGCTATGTTGTTGTGCTACAAAACAAAATATAGTATCTAGTTTACCAAAACAGCCAGCAAAAGCACTTACCTTACGATTATCTGAATTGAAGGAGTGCTATAAGAAGATGGCTTATCTTTAACTTGCAGTAACCCATGATAAGGTCATCTTCATGTCTTAGTGTGTGATACATTAGCTCA